CCTGATCGGCCTCCCCCTCTTAGGCGACCCCTAGCTGACTAACCCCCACCCCGAGCTAGATGGGTGGGTGGCAAAGTAACTGGTGCTGAAGTCCTAGTCTGACTCCTCTGTTGCACTGGACCTCCCAAACGACGAGGACACTATCTCCACATATAACCAAATTCCCCGCACTCAAAGCAGCTCCCTGGTACTGGTGGTGGTACGGACTGAATCGGGCCCCGAGAACTAGAATAACTACTAGAAGCACCCGGTGCAAATGAACCCTGCGCTGAAGGGGCACGGGACGAACTCTGGGCTGCAAGGGCACTGAGAGATGACTGGCCCTGATGAAAACTATATGAACCATGGCCGGATAACACACCACGGTAAACGGGACAACTCGTCTGAGCGTGTCTGTAAGAACGACCCCTACCACGGCAAAACGGACCCCCTGAAGGAACACCTCTAAAATCACCTGGACCACGAGGCCTTTTGGCCTCCCTCTCTCCATGTTCCTTACTACGTACCATCTCTATCTGCCGAGCAATGTCAACAACCTCATCAAAAGTAGCACTAGATACTCTCTCCCGAGTCATAAGTAATTGTAGCTGATATGTAAGGCCATCAATGAACCTCCTAATCCTTTCCGTGTCAGTGGGTACCAACCAAACGGCGTGATGAGCCAACTCAGAAAATCTCATCTCTTACTGCGTCACAGACATGCCATCCTGACCTAACTGCTCAAACTGTCTCCGCAGCTCCTCTCTACGAGACTGCGGCACAAACTTCTCCAAAAAGAGAATGGAGAACTCCTGTCATGTAAGTGGTACTGCACCGACCGTCCTGCGTTTCTCATAAGCCTCCCACCAACTGAAGGCAGCCCCAGAAAACTAAAAAGTAGTGAACGAGACCCCACTGGTCTCCAGAATGCCTGCTGTCTGAAGCATTCACTGGCACTTATCCAGAAAACCCTGAGCATCCTTTGACTCAACACCGCTAAATGATGAAGGTCGAAGCCTCCCAAATCTCTCAAGTCTCCTCTGCTCATCATCTGCCATAACAGGAACTACCGGGGCCTGAGCAGCTACAGTCGGCTGGGCTGGTAGTATCCCCGGTATCTGAAGTCCCTGTATTACCTGATCTGGAGTATGGGCAACAGGGGTATGAGTACCTCCCCCGGCCTGAGAAGTGGCAGGTGCGGCCTGAGCTGAAACCACCTGAGCAAGTCCAGTACAAACTGCCAATATCTGAGCCAAATCCTCCTGAAGGCCTGGAATCACAATGGGCATAGCTGGTGCCTGAGCTGGTCCTGTCAGCTCAGCTATATCTGAATCTGCTCCTGAGCTGGAGCAACTGGTAGTGCTAGAGGTGTTGCTCCAACTGTTGTACGAGCTACACCTAGACCTCTACCTCGGCCCCGGCCTCTACCACGGCCCTAACTGGCATCACTGGTGGTTGACCGTCTGATCCGGTAGTACGTGTCATCGCCATCTGTGAGAGAATAGAATAACAGAGATTTAGTTTCCGGAATCTACAAATTCTCACGACAGAACATAAGGAGGTGAAATTTTCCTAAGGGTTTGGCAGCTTCTCGAAGATAAGTACAGACGTCTCCGTATCTATCCGCAAGACTCTACAAAACATGCTCATGACTCATGAGACCTATGTAACCTAGGCTCTGATACTAACTTGTCACGAACCAAAATCCTAACCTGTCATGATGGCGCCTATCTCGATACTAGGCAAGCCGACAACCTCAATAAATCACAATTTCTTTTAAGTTTGAAAATATAATATTTAAACATAATCCACAAATCTCGCAAATACCGATACAAACACTCCCAAAACCTGGTGTCACTGAGTACATGAGCATCTATACATTACAAGTCTGAAAAATACGGTCTATAATAATCTGAGACCAAATACAATAAACAAAAGGATAGGGAAGGAGAGATAAGATCTGCGAAATATGGTAGCTACCTCTGAATCTCCGAAAAATCGACTGTGTGAAAGAATCAACACCCACTGTGTCCGGGATCACCTGGACCTGCACATGAAATGCAGGGTGCAGTATGAGTACAACCAACTCAGTAAGTAACAATAATAAATAAAGAACTGAAAGTAGTGACGAGCTTCTCAGCTAAGTCCAAATACAGTACTTTCCAACATAAAATGGTAGGCATGCTTTCAAGTTCAACATTTAAAACTCCACAGTAATTTTCTTTCAAGTTCAACATTTAAAACTCCACAGTAATTTTATATCAAATTTGACTGAAAAAGAAAATAATATTTTTCCGAAATTTCCAAAAATAGTGATATATGACAGCTGAAATGCAGCAATAATGAATTCAATGCATCCTCTCAGTGTAACAGTCACTCATTCCTCCCATTCACTCCAACCTCACATTCACTCTTTCCTCACAGTCACTCATTCCTCCCAATCACTTAGCACTCGGCATTCGGCACTCGCACTCACACTCAGTAGGTACTTGCGCTCACTGGGGGTATGTATAGACTCCGGAGGAGCTCCTTCAGCCCAAACACTATATCAAGCCAATCATGGCATATAACAATGAAAGATGCTGCAGTGTTCAGCCCGATCCCATAAATATCCTCACAATTAGGCCCTCGGCCTCACTCAGTCATCAACCTCTCCAGTCTCTCGGGCTCTCAGAAATCATGATAAGCAGCCCAACAACAATGATATGATGCATCAATAATGAATAAGAGAGACTGAGGTAATAATGTGCAAATAGAAGAGTGACTGAGTACAAAATAATAATTTAGCAGATAATTCCACAAGTACACGAACTTTGTGGGTCCCAACAGTGTAAACATATGATTTAAACATGATTCATAGATCAATTTCTCTAATACGGGGAAAAATGTACATATATCAACAAATTATTCAACTACACAGTTCCATTGGTCAAAATTTCTACGGTGCACGCCCCTCACCTAGCATGTGCGTCGCCTCAAAACCAATGACATAACACATAATCTGGGGTTTCATACCCTCAGGACCAAATTTAGAACTGTTACTTACCTCAAACCGTCTAATTATTTATTACGCTATGCCTTTGCCTCGTGAATTGGCCTCCAAACGCCTCGAATCTAGCCACAAATAATTCAATTTAGTCAATAAAATTTATTGGAATTAATTCCATAAAAAAAATACTAATTTCCCAACAAAATCCGAATTTTAGCTCAAACATTACCCGTGGGGCCCACGTCTCGAAACCCGACAAAAGTTATAAAATCCGAAAGCCTATTCAACCACGAGTCTAACCATACCAATTTTACCAAAATCCGATCTCAATCAACCTCCAAATCTTTAAATCTTATTTTCAAATCCCTAAGTTCAAATCATAGATTTACACCTCAAAAACATGTAATCTAGTCGGATTATTCGATGATAATTCAATATTATGGAGTAGAAATGATCACAAGTGACTTACCTCAAGATTTCTCGTGATTTCTCACTCAAAAATCGCCTCACTCGCTTTTGGAAATGTCAAATATGAAAATATTTCTCGGACCCTTCTGTTTTATACATTGCCTAGTGCTTTCGCACATGCGGCTCATAAACCACTTCTGCGGTTCCCGGTTCTGCGGCTAATTTCTCTTCTGTGGAGCTTTGTCCGCATCTGCGGACACACTTCTGCAAGGAGCTGCCCGCTTCTGCGAAGCTGCCTCACCAAGCGCCCTTGCGCTTCTGCGATCAAATGCCCGCAGGTGCGGGGCCGCTTCTGTGGCTACCTGCCGCTTCTGCGATCGAAGCCCCAGCCACGCCTGGACGCAACTACGATGGAAGGCTCGCTTCTGCGAGCTCGCACCTGCGATAGAATTTTCGCAGGTGCGATTACATCACATGGCAGAAACTTTCAGATTTTCTTTTAAGTACGAATTCGATCCGTTAACCATCCAAAACTCACTTGAGGCCCCCGGGACCTCAATCAAATATATCAAAAAGTTCTAAAACACCATACGAACTTAATCGAGCCTTCAAATGACATCAAACAACGCTAAAACCACGATTCATACCCCAATTCAAGCCTAATGAACTTTGAACTTCGAGTTTCTACAAACGACGTCGGAACCTATCAAATCACGTCCGATTGACCTCAAATTTTGCACACAAGTCATAAATGACATAACAGACCTATTCAAATTTCCAGAATCGGATTCCTACCCCGATATCAAAAAGTCAACCCCCGGTCAAATTTCTCAAAAATTTGACTTTCGCCATTTCAAGCTTAATTCCACTACGGACTTCCAAAAAAGTTTTCGGACGCCCTCCTAAGAATAAAATCACCATACAGAGCTATTGGAATCATCAGAATTCAAATCCGAGATCGTTTACACATAAGTCAACATTCGGTCAACTTTTTCAACTTAAGTTTTCAATTATGAGACTAAGTGTCTCATTTCACTCCGAAATCCTTCCGGACCCGAACCAACTAACCTGGTAAGTCATAAAACAATTGTAAAGCATAACTTGAGCAGTAAATGGGGGAACAAGGTTATAATACTTAAAACGACCGGTCGGGTCGTTACACCCAATAACATGTAATAATGAGATGATATGCAGATTGTCTTTGAAGGTACTCCATCCCAGATTGCCTTTGAAGATGATCTTGACCTCCATTTATAGTTTTTGGACGTGCCCAACTACACCCAGCTAAAGGGTGAAAGTGGTTGAATAGTACATGGAACTACATTCTAGATCTTACGAGTTTGTTGAGATAGTGGCGCATCAAATTCGTTGAGGCTTGACATCGTATTATACAGTACTGTGGTCATTCATACTGGTTTGCTGGTGAATTGTGTCGTGCCTACTTGTTCGGCTGAGCTAGTGTAGGTGCGATGTCGGATTGTTGTTGAACCTGGCCGAACCTAATTTTCTGACCACTAAAATTGTAATGATGAGAAAGTGCTGAGTCTGCATTGTTTACCCGAAAGGGGACTAGCTTGTGGCTTCAACATAGAGGATAAGTTTGATTTTGAAAGATTTATGATAGTCATTAACCGTTAACAAGATTTGCTTAGTTAGGCTCGCCATTTGGCGTAATTAATACATCTTGTACATTCTTTGCTTCTCTGAGCTTGAGAAGAAAAAGAAAATGCATCTTATGCTAATTTGAATGCTCTATGCTTTTAAGTTACAGTTACACATTGGATGAGTATTACTGCTAGTCACAGCTGAATGCTAAAATGCTTAGTCTCTTCACTGCGGCTAAGTGAGAATGCTGCATCCACAACTTGACCTCCATAACTAACAGTAACTTTGTAATCACCAAGGAAGCCATAGAAGCTGTAAGAACCACGTGCAACTGTTTGGCCCTTCAGAACCCCAGTTTCCCACTCCTTCAGAAGCTTGTCCACTACATTACCAGTTGGTAGGTTATTTAAGTCTGGATCTGTAAGGCACATTCTGTAACATTTGTTTCTCCTTATGGCACTCCACAGCATTATCCCATCCACAGCCGGATGTGAGAAGGCCTCCCTCAATACTTGTTCTAAGTAAATAGCCTGTCCATTAAAAATGGATTAATCAAAGACAGATCTAGAATTTTAAAATATCTCCATACTCACTATTTTGTTGTGATCATGGGTGCGAACATGGTAAAAATATATATTTCTAGAAAACTATAAGAATAATGCAGCCTTATTAGTGAACTGGCAATGTATGTTTTCGTGCTTTAGCTCAGTTTTATAAATTGGAGAAAACAAAGAAAAGAAAAGTTGCATGCCATTTCAATTGACTTTGAGGGAACATATTGAGCAATATTAGAGCTGTCTCACCTGTGTTTCCTTGCTAAATGTTTCACTGATATCAACTTCTGTGAGCCAAATGGGAAGCCCCAATGTTGCTAATTTATCTAAAGTAGCTCTTATTCGAGGCCGATTGGGGACTCCAAAATGACCCTCAAGTCCAATTCCATCCATTGACATGCCATCTTCTTTGAGCTCCCTGATCTTTGAAATATACTTGTCTACAGTGGACTTAGAATCACAATTTTCTACCACATTGAATTCATTGAGGAACAAGGTTGCCAAAGGGTCTTGTTGGTGAACTGTCCTGTAAAATTCTAGTGTGGCATTTGGTCCCAGCCTTTGCTCATAAAAATCAAAGTGAAGCAGTTCATTGTTAACATCCCAGTGAACAAATTCATCTTTGTATTTACTCATAAGACTCTGTATCCTGGAGTTAACAGCTGATTTCAGCTCAGAATCTGTAAGATTTTGAACCCAACCTGGTGTATATTTTGGGTCCTCCCAGAAAATATTGTGACCTCTGACAGTGATCTGGTTTCTTCGAACAAATTCCAGCAACTGGTCTGCTAAGGTATAGTTAAGTTGACCGCGTTTAGGCTCTGTGGTGTACCACTTGATTTCATCTTCAAAAACTGCAGCATTGAATCGCTCAAGAAACCAGTTCTGAAACATGAATAAAAATCAGCTTCTGATACTAAAGGCATTATCAATTGTTTAGAGTCCACAGAATGACACTACATTTTCATTGTGAGGTGAATTTAAGATTTAAAAACAATGGTATCTAAAGCAATGTGATGGATTTTTTTGACAGACCTGATAGGGGGTATTACCAATAAAGGTATATGCAATAGCAGATCCAAGGAGGAAATCTTTGGAAACTTGTTCTATTGTTAGTATTGCACCTTCAAGTCTAACTCCTTGTTTATTTGAGACGTGAATAGTAACAGCGCGCTTCCTTGCCTGAATCAAAGTTTGTTTCAGAATTCATTTGGTATCGAACTTTCAATCCAATGAAACAAGAAAGCACTACTCAATATATTTACCATGTTAATTTTTGTCTGTTGATTTAAGATCCATTGTTCCTCAGTAAAAGGCTGCAATGAAGCACTAGCAATCTCTATTTCCAAAGCTTCTTGATCTGAATTCTGCAAAAGAAAGGAAACAACTTGAAATGTAGTTCTGTAGACTTTCCAAGTATTCATCAGAAGTACCAGATTAAGATTACTAGATGTATGAGTCAATATTGACAAGGCAACCAATAGATATACCTTTAAATAAATGGAAGATAAATTAAGTTTAGAAGCTACAAAACCACCCTTGAGGAAGGACCAGCATCCAGGCTTAGCATCTACAGTGCCAACACATAGTTCTTCAGAATCTTTGTCACCTACGCTTGCTGTTATGAGAGAAGAATCTGCATTTTTTATCTTAATCCAAGCTGCCAAAACAAAAATATGTAAAATTACTTTCTGATTTCTGTAAACACCTTGCATCTTGCATCAGTCTTTTTATCATGGAATAAAAGCTGGATAAAAACATTTAATTAATAGTAGTAGTAAGAAGTAACTCAACTGGAAAAAGAATAAATGGTGCCAGGGGTGAGATCTTGCAATCTGAAAACAGGTAAATGGACATTCTTTCCATCCGCTACCGTAAACCCCTGAAACTCCGGAAACTTATCCTTTAAAATTCCGCCGCCATAGAGTGGCTTCTCTGGGTAAAGTTTGCACTGCAGAGCAAGTCATACATGAAGAGAACAAGAGTGAGTCATTGCCTTGCAGATATCGGCAATACCTCAGTGTAAACTGTTAGCCTCATAATGAATAATAATCAAACACTCAAATATGTGAAATGCACTGGAATTAATCTACATTGAATATACACCAAGTGTAACACCATAGGAAGATCTAGGCTATTTGTTGGTGGTTTTGTGATCCATTTGAAAGTACATCTTATTAGACTTGAGCATAACATAACTTGCACGATCTTCTCACACTTAGGCACATAGCATGCTATTGCCTATTGGCAATGATTCTACTGTGTCACAGCATCCTAAGTAATCGTCGTTGTTCATTTGATTCCGGAGGAACTATTTCGTTAAGGATGGGAAATTACTTCCCCAGTGTGTAGTTGCAAATACTGGCTTAAGCTTAGGCCATATAAATAGGTGGAAAACTTTACACAAAAAAGATAATGTACTCCTATATAACAATTCGTACCACTTCGATCCCACTGACTACAATTCTTGCATTGACCTCTGCGTAGCACAGTTATTTTACGAGACTACAAAAAACGTTGATGTAGATAGTGTTTGGATATAGATTTGGTTGAAACTTGAAAAAAAAAAAATTAAGTTCGTGTTGAACAATAATTTTTGGAAATGGAGTTGAATTTGAATATGCATTTTATTTGAAAAAAAGTTAAGAGATTTTGTGAGTGTTCAAATACATCATATTCCATGAACAAAAGGTTATTTTCAAAAATATTCTGAAAAAAACAGCCAAAATGAAGGATTGTTACCTCGGTGAAAGCTGAAGAATCATAGAGTGGCCCATCTGCAATAAAGTACAACAGTCAAAACTGTCACTAGTCTTCGAGTAGTAGCAACAAGAACCCATTGCACTTCTATAACTACAACTACTGTTTATTCAAATATAGAAATCATAAGAGGAACAGAGAGAGTACCATAAGGTGAAACGAGGGGAGGCACAGAAACAGAGAGGACCCAATAGAAAAAAGAGAGGCAAAAGATGGAATGACCCCTCATTCTCTTCATCTGTTTAGATCAAAACAGCTCAATATTCCAAAATATACAAAAAGAAGTGGATGTAAGAGGAAGAGCAGTATCTAGCAAATGCAAATTGGAGTAATATTAATGGATACCAACAAGGAAGCAGAATCACAAGAGGAATAGTATGAATATAGCTTTGTTTCTTCCCAACTCGCAAGTCCGTGCTCTGTTCACATGCTATGCAAAAGCAAGAAGCTAGTAATAATAAATATAGGAAATTTGCCCAAAAATGACGGTCGGTATTCGTAATGGATCAATTATAACCCGTTTAAACTTGAGTCCAAAAATGACCCTATCGTGATAGAATAAGTCTAATAATGCCCTTGTGTTATTCGAAATGGATCAATTATAACCCTCGTTTAAATTTGAGCTCACTAATGATCTTGTCGTTAAAGAATAGGTCTAATACTATTATTTTCCTCAGTTAGTAATGATTAGGGGTGTAAATGGATATTTAAAAACCGACTAAACCGACAGAACTGTACAGTACTGAACCAATTTTTAGGTTCCTTTTAATAAAACCGTAGATTTTTATATAAATCTATAATTGTACCGATAATTAGGGTAGGTTTTTTATTTTATAAAAATAAATCGAAAAAATATAGAACCGTACCGAATAAATTTACATGTGAAACATATATTTATATATTAAGTTTAAAAATAACAATGTATTAAAATTTGTACAATATTTATATTAATACATTATTATTTACAAATATAAATATTAGACTTATTCTTTAACGGCATGGTCATTAGTGGGCTCAAATTTTAAACTTATTCGACCCATTCTTTATAAATATTAGACCCATTATTATTTTTAAACATAATATATAAATATCGAACCGTACCGAATAAATTTACACGTGAAACATATATTTATACTAGGTCTAATAATAGGTCCGATATATTTACATGTGAAACATATATTCACATGTAAATTTATTCGGTACGATTAGAATATATTTACATGTGAAACATATATTCACATGTAAATTTATTCAGTATGCTTCAATATTTTTTCGGTTTATTTTTATAAAATAAAAAACCTACCCTAATTATCGGTACAATTATAGATTTATATAAAAACCTACAGTTTTATTAAAAGAAACCTAACAATCGGTTCGGCACGGTACGGTTCTGTCGGCTTTTAAATATCCATTTACACCCCTAATCATTACTAACTGAGGAAAATAGTAGTATTAGACTCATTCTTTAACGGCATGGTCATTAGTGGGCTCAAATTTAAACGAGAGTTATAATTGATCCATTTCGAATAACACAAGGGTATTATTAGACCCATTCTATAACGGCGGGGTTATTTTTGGACTCAAGTTTAAAACGAGGGTTATAATTGATCCATTTCAAATACCACAAAATCATTTTTGGACCTTTTTTCATAAATATAAGTACTAGTTAAGCTTTACATAATGATGATGAAATGAAACTAAAAGTTACAACATTAATTAATTTGATACTTTTAACAGTTTTCCTCTAATTCCGATGGTGTTGCCTCTTAAGTTATAATGTTATACTCCCTCTGTTTCAATTTATATAAACCCATTTGACTGGACACGGAATTTAAAAATAAAGAAAAGACTTTTAAACTTATTGTGTAAAATGAGACACATATATTTTGTGTGGCTATAAATCATTGCATAAAGGTAAATTGTTTCCAAATAAGGAAAGAGGTCATTCTTTTTGACACGGATTAAAAAGGAAATATGTTCACATAAATTAAAACGGAGAAAGTATAGATGGATCTTCATTTTTCTTAGAAGTACAATTAGCCACGTCACGAGTGTGGATACTTTGTAAGAATTTTTCAAAGAACACAAAAGAAGCAAAAATTGCACGTCTACACACACCTATATCAAATTAGTGCATATAGAAGAGTTGTAACATAAGTTTGTCTACAAACCTTATTTTATCGACGAGATTTTCAATGAAAGTTGAGATGGCGCAAGTATGAATAAGAGTCAATTATTTAAAGTCAGCCTTTTGTACAAGGTTTTCCGCATTCACCAGGGCCAGGGAGAGAGCCGCACCTCAAGGAGTGTGATGTAAACAGTTTACTTTAATGCAAGTATTAGTGGCTGCTTGCAATATTCGAACTCGTGATCTATAAGTCTCACGAAAATAATTTTACCGTTGCTACAAGACTCTCTTTCGAATAAGAGTCAATTATTATCCTATTTTTATTATTTCTCATTAAATTAGCCCTAGTATACTTTTAAAAAAGAGATTGTCATTCTAGTGAATCGAAAGAATGTCCTCACGTTTGAAATAGATAAGTTCCATATAAGTGTGATATACCTTTTCTTGATCGGGCATGCTGATTCCATTTTGGCGTCATGCTTAGGAACTCATGATAATGCGTCGGTTTCTAGTATCTCAGTGCACGTGATGTGCAGAGAGAAAGGTCCATTCATTACCTATCAATTTGACACCATACTCCATTTTCACTAAAATATTATTACATCCATTTTCCATATTAGTTTGAAGAGCGTGGGCATTTAGCATAAGAATGCGCATTTCCCCAAATGTTAAATTCCATGCGATGCTGTCTCGCAGCTAAATCTTGCAAATTTGTTGTTTCACTTTCACATTCCACTTGTGAGAGGATAATGCAATGAATATATACTCCGACGTAATGGGGTTGGTCTGCACATTCTTGTGACCACTTAGTGGATATATCAATATAGAAGAGTTTTATGACCAATTCCGAAAATATTAATTAGATTTTAGAGGGAAGTGACAGTAATGTGAATGTGACCCTTTTGAATGAATTTACCGTTTACCTAGCTGGCCTAGCTGTTTGACATAGCTTTACATGAATGGCCTCTAATTTTCTTATAGACAACTGTTATGAATATAATTGTACTTTGAGTAAATGTCTATCTTTTAAAGAGTTTGTTACTTTGTGGCTAAGTCATTTCCCCTATGAATAGAAGGGTTTTACCCCATTGTAAATTGATGTCGTGCTATAATTCCATATATTTTGACGTTATTTACCCTACTTGCTTGTTGTTTGGATGCTAATTTGTGCGACAATTGCGCTTAATACAGCTTATTTCACGTGTTGGAAGGCTTGGACATGAATTGGAGAAATGTTGCATGGAATGGTACCTCAGAGCTAAAAAATGGAGCAATAAAAGAAGAAGTGCAAGGCAACGAAACAACAGTTCCATAGACAGTGCAAGACATTGTCCAGGGCACTGTCATTGGCGTCCCAGACAGTGCCTTGCGCAGAAACAACAGTGCCATAGACAGTGCAAGGCATTGTCCAGGGCACTGTCATTGGCGTCCCAGACAGTGCCTTGCGCAGAAACAACAGTGCCATAGACAGTGCAAGGCATTGTCCAGGGCACTGTCATTGGCACCCCTGATAGTGCCTTGCATCGAAACAACAGCGCCATAGACAGTGCCTCGCGCCGACGATGCCATCCGAGCAAATTTTAATTCCTCATTAGTTTTGGACATGTAGAATTCGGCCCCTACCCTATAAATACCCCTTAAAGTTAGTTTTTTTTAGGGAGAGACATCATTAGAGAGGCAAGAGGCTACAGAATACTTCGGAAGCACGAATCACTCGAGTTTTTCTCTCCGCTTTCCTTTAATTTGCCGTTTTAATGCTTTTAGATATTACTATGATTATTTATACAGTTATGAGTAGCTAAACATGTCATCTAGGGTTGATGGAACAAATTATTGGATGAAGTCTTGATTTCGTTTTGATATAATTGAGCCATTCTTACTCTTTAATTGTTCAACTATGTATTTCTTGTGATTAATTGAAGGGCCCTTGATTAATTGTGTCTAGTTATCTTGTGTAGCTTGAGAAAGAATGCCTGATTAGATTGTTGTTGAACAACGCCACTCTCGAGTAATTAAGAGATTAATTACTTGAATTTAAAAGCGGGATTAGAGATAACGAAGCTTTGGGCGATATTTATGAGTTGTACAAATATTCAACTAGAGTAGTTCGAGAGAATACTTCTAGTAAATTATCGTAATTAATCGAGAGATAATTACGGTAAACAAGAACTCATCATCTTTAGAGAGTGTTATGGCAAGATTATAGCTAACGAGACAGGAAGTAATCCGACAATTGGGAAAATCATAAACCCTAGATACTTTTATCCTTGATTCAACCTCGTTCTTGCTAATTGATAGTTTTTATTGTCATTTTTCCTTAGTTAAGTAATTTTATTAATTCACAAATCAATTCTTGAACTCTGAAAGTTGTCTGAGCTTATTATTAGTGAACTGAAAAGTTGTAGCAAATAGGTTAGTTCCCTGTGGGATTCAATTCTGGACTGTTGAACAAGATTATTTTTGCAGCGACCGCTTAGTTCTTTTATTAAGGTATAGTTGGGCGTGATCAAATTTTGGCGCCGTTGTCGGGGACTAACAGTGTAGTTGTAGCTGTATATATGGCTAGGTTTCAAGTTTGAACTTTTATTTTATTTTATATTTTTTATTTCTTTTATTTTATTCTAACTGTTGAGTTGAGAAACATGACATCTTGGAATTATGGAAATTTAGGTGTAGATACTTCTACTCTTGACCCTCA